AGGCCTGATTTTTTTCAGGTCTGATTTTCGCTATTGCATAAATAGCGCTATCTACTGCGAGGATCGTGCATCATACGTATCTAATACCGCAGTTCAAAATATATGAACTTCATATATTCATTGTATCTCATTTATCACTTTCACGGGTTTATTACGAATCAACTTAACGGCCTGCTCCCAGTTGGCTTGTTAGCTCAATTGGTAGAGCGCTGCACTAGTATCGCAGAGGTCAGTGGTTCTAGTCCCGTAAAGGCCTGATTTTTTTCAGGTCTGATTTTCGCTATTGCATAAATAGCGCTATCTACTGCGAGGATCGTGCATCATACGTATACAAGAAAGAGAAATTAAATATTAAATCATTCATTTAAAAGCAGAAATGACAGTATGAGATAAAAATACAGAAATAGAAACACATGACAATAAATAGAAGAATACATAAGTTATACAGTACTATTTACAGGATTTAACTTTTGACACATCATTGATTATTCGTTCTACGTCAACATAACTATCTTGAACTTGAAGATTTTGAAATAATATTGTTGTTAGCTTTTTTTTGAAAATATCTTTTGGAAGATTCCTTAAAGTTTCCTGGGATGCTATTCCAAATTTTACAACCAATCCTTGAGAATGAGTTTTTATGTTGACGTTGAAGCTGACGTTTCGAGCATTAGCCCTTCGTCGAAACGTCAGCTTTTTAACTCTTCACGGTGGCCAATTTACAATTTCAACTTAGTTGATATTACCAAATTACTTTAAAATAAGCAGCCGGAGGTTTATTCGAGTAAACACTGGTATATAGTGTTTACTCTAAAATCTTCAGGGAGGCTTGGGTTTTTCCTACTTAGCCTTAAGACAACGTTTTCTAAAAATCCCAAAGAATAGATTTTTTGACGCCAGCTAGAAAACCCGAAAATTATCCTTTGATGAAAAAAGTTCTCCTATACCCTTCTAGCACCCCTCGAGCTTCAGCGTCTGCGGGAATATATGGAAAATGACTGCAGCAGAAACAAAGAGGGAAAGATTGTGGAACGGTCCAAAGAACAAGTGAACGAAAGGAGCATGCTCTGAAATGGTTGCTTTCGCATTTTTCAGACCACCAGTACTTTTTCAAAGGATACTAGATACTTTAGTTAGTTTCGTACGCATCCGGCACATCAGAAATAATGATTTAGATAATTAATTAATTAACTAGTAAGCAAAGAGAAAGAAAGAGAGACAGTGAAACTTGACTCCAGAGGGCCCACTCCGTAACAATGTTTGAACGGAAGATTATAAAGACCAATCTGGGACAGAAAAAGTTAAATCCGTAGCTTGTTCATCAGTGAACTGAAATGTTAAAAATTAGAAACGAACACCCAGTTGTAAGAGCATTTTCAATCGTTCTCCATGGTTTCTATCAAAATACTTTGAGTAACGGAACGCACGCATAGCTAATGAAGCTAAGAAAAGAGAAAAAAAGAATCACTCTCACATATTTTTGTTCCGTTCCGTGACAAGAACTGCGTTTCTAACATGCAACCCCTGACCTCACCGGGTGGGATGTTTTCCATTACTACTACAGCTATTTTCTGCATTTTTTTATTCTTTTATCCCGGGTATTGAGCGACATACGTTCGAAACGAGTATCGAACACGAACAGGGCCCTGGGAACTAAGTGAGAAAAGGAAGGGTGCAGCAGCTTTCTTCCAAGCGTTTCTTTAAACAACTGCAGAGTCCTGGCGATAATAAAAGTATATAAGTGCCCTTCACCCAGTGGGAAAGTGGCAAACTAAAACAGCTCCTTCCAATGAAACAAGGAAGACAGATCGATACCTCAAGGAGTCCTATTACTTCCTTATAACTGGAAAATGCTCCTCAAGCGAAGTGTCTCTAAGTTAAAATTTTATCTAAGTTCGAGCTGATACCTCTAAAATCTAAGCAATATTTGCATGTCTCAATTGAACTTCATTAAGTTCAAAATCAGCCTTCAGCTTGATATCCTTCTTCAATTTTTAAAGAAAAATATCTGACTGAAGGGTTCAGAGTTGTATTTTGAATCCGCCCTTGAAGTGGGAAAAGTCATTTGAATTACAAATAATTTTCAAAATTAACATTTACATTTGCGTTTAGTCTTGCACGAGTAGAAAGAGCTTACGAACCACAAGAAATTTCTTCGTCTTTTCAACTTCTATGGTTTAAAGAACACATTATTTTGACCATATTACCTTGGATATCGTCAGTTCTGTCAAGTTCGGTGAGTGTTTCTTCTACCGAATCGAGTGGTAAAAGATTAGACGTCGAGGATTCATGGCTTTTATTTGTCACGACTTTTCTTCAGGTAAATAACCTAAGTATTGATGTGTTTTGGATAGAAATGCAATGTTTTTTATTTCCGTTGTTGCTCTCGAAACAGAAATTTACAGAGTCACATGTAAGAAGGGAGAGCATGTTACTCATAGAGAAATACAAGTCCTTCGTGACAGCCGCCATGACAGTTCCTCTCGAGCATTATGATCTTTAGAGCATCGTGAGAAATTCGTTCTTTGATGTTAGTGAAGTTATGCCTTATTTCCTTATTTCCCTTTTCATTTCTGTACTCTGTGCCATGTAAAATGAGTTATTCACGCAGTTAGTTTTTTTTACATCAACTTTGTTTCAAGCGCTCTTATTATTTTCCTTGTCCCTCAACCCCGCCATAGAAAAAGAGTAATCGCCAGACCGTTATTCGTAGATTCTTTATCTGTTGGTTAAGTTTGTCTAATACCCATGAACTTTTAAGGTTAAGTAAATCCAAGGGTTTATAATCTCTTTATAAAAGTTAGCTCAGTCTTTCACATTATACTGCTTTTCCAGAGTTATTGAAATTCACAAGATTTTCTGTTACCTTTGTTCATAAAAGGGCATTAATTTTTTTAACGTACACTGTAAAATGTAGTGGCTCTGAGCTCCGTTTGGGACCTGGATATATATATATTTAGTATATACACACTCAGTGATCTTGGCGTTTCAAGCAATCTGATTGGTTCGCTATCTCGGGCTAATCAACAATGTACACCTCCGAGCGAGTGGATAATGTGAAAAACAAAATAGCGGGCGTAAACTCGCGTTTCGCTAAAGTTTCAGAAGCAGAAATTGCCTTTAAATGGCTTCCTTTTAATTTTGTCGAGATCAC